CACACATGGTGCAGGAAGTAATGTGAGTACTCCGACCCAGTGAGTAATAAAATTAAATAACGACTGAGAACATAAAATCCCACAAGGGCACAAATAATGCTATCTAAAGCAGCAACATCAGATAAACAGTAGAAACCAGTGAAATATAGGAAGAAAATCTTTTTGAAAACAGTTAAAAATCAATCATACTCAACCAGTAAGTCAGCCATTGTTACCTGACCGGTCAGCCATTGTTACCTGACCAAACGCGTATTACAGTGCCATTGTTACCAGTCATTGTTACCTGACTGGTCAGTCATTGTTACCTGACCAAACGCGTATAACAGTGTCATTGTTACCACTGTTCAATGTTTAATCACTCTAGATGGGTACCCACGCTCACTGTGGGTGTGCAGACTCCGGAGGGGCTCCTACAGCCCAAGCGCCATCAACAAGGCCTGAAAGCCTGAACAGTATCAATACGAGGCCTGAAAGCCTCCTCACCTCACTCATCATGCCCTCACATAAGGCCCTCGGCCTCAATCAGTCCAGAAATAATCAACAACCCCTCGGGCAACAGTAAAGCAATAATACTCAGCTCAAACAATAGTTCAAATATCAGTTTAAAACTCCAAGTTTGAGTAAATATGGCTGAGTTCAAGAAACAGTAAAAATCACATGGACTGAGTTCAAATAATATTTCAAACAGTGAGGAAAACAGTGATGATAGTTCATAAAGAGTTCAAACAGTCGGCAATAAGCCCCAAATATGGCAATAAGCCCAAATCATAGTGAAAACAACAAGTCATTGCTAATGTGCGGTAAAATATCATCCGGACTGGACCAAGTCACAGTCCCCAGTAGTAAATGACCCCGCGCTCGTCATGGAACGCGTGTCTCATCTCAACATAGCACCAAGTTGCGCAAGTCCGGGTTTTCAAACCCTCAGAACATCATTTAAAATCATTACTCACCTCTAGCCGGTCAGCGTCTAGCTCGCTATGCCTTTTCCTCTCGAATCGACCTCCTCGCGCGTCGAATCTGATCAAAACCACAAGGAATACATCACAATAGGCTAATGGGTCATAACCCAATCGAAAAGACTCGAAAAATATCAAAAATCACGAAGTTGGCAAAACCCGAGCCCCGGGCCCACTTCTCGAAAAATTACGAAATTCACATCTCCGGATTCCTCGTCTTGCCACGAGTCTATACATATCAAAATCGGGGTCCATTTGACCCCTCAAATCCCTATTTTAAACTCTCTAAAATTCCAGCCCTAAACCACCATTTTTGACCTTTGATTCCTTGATTATTCAGTCCAAATTCATGTTTATACACCATAAAATCAAGCTCTAAGTCCAAGAGTTCATACCTGATAATAGCCCTCGAATCCCTCTTCAAAATCGCCTCAAAGTTCTCAAGGTTCGGAGTCCAAAATGTTACTCTTTCAAAAATTCGCGAGGAAGATGTTTTCACTTAACCTGCCAGTTATTTCCGCTTCTGCGGATTAATTCCCGCTTTTGCGCCTTCCGCTTATGCGGTCAACGTCCGCTCCTGCGGACCTTTCACTTATGGCGACTTTCCGCTTCTGCGGTCCAACTTCGCATCTGCGGGACCGCTTAAGCGACCCAATGTCCCGCTTCTGCGGAACCTGACCTGGGCTCCTATTTCCGCTCCTGCGAGGCCTAGCTCGCTTCTGCGAGACCGCATCTGCGATCTCCTTTCCGCAGATGCGGAAACACCTGCTGCAACCAAAAACCTGCAATTTTCCAACTTCAAATTCCTTCCGTTAGCCACCCGAAATCACCCCGAGGCCCCCGGGACCTCAACCAAAGTTACCAACACATCTTAAAACATTATTCAAACTTGTTCCAATCCTCAAAACACGTCTAACAACGCTAAAACCATTAAATCACATCGAATTCAAGCCTAAGTTTCTTCAAAACTTCCGCAATACGCATTCGATCAAAAACCCGATCAAAACATCTCCGAATGACCTAAAATTTTGCACACACATCCAAAATCACCTAACGGAGCTACTGAAACTCTCGGAAATCACACCCGAGCCTTCTAACTCAATAGTCAACTTCCGGTTGACTTTTCCAAAACAAGCTTTCCTTAAAGAGACTAAGTGTCTCATTTCCATCTAAAACCAATCCAATTCAACTCGATCACCTCAAATACCGATAATGAAGCATAGAGAAACATAATATGGGGAAAACGGGGCGGTAACTCACGTGACGACGGGCCGGATCGTCTCATCCTCCCCAACTAAAACAAACGCTCGTCCTCGAGCGGGTCAAGGAACATACCTGGAGTCTCAAACAAGTGAGGATATCTGCTCAGCATCTCCCGCTCGGTCTCCCAAGTAGCCTCCTCCACGGGCCGACCTCTCCATTGTACCTTCACTGAAGCTATATCTTTTGACCTCAACTTTCGAACCTGATGACCCAAAATAGCCACTGGCTCCACATCATATGTCAAATCATCATCCAACTGAACCGTGCTGAAGTCCAATACATGAGATGGGTCCCCAACATACTTCCGGAGCATAGATATATGAAATACCGGATGCACACTAGACAAGCTGGGTGGCAAAGCAAGCTCATAAGCCACCTCCCCAATCCTCCTAAGTATCTCAAAAGGGCTAATGAACCGCGGACTCAACTTCCCTTTCTTTCCAAATCTCATAACGCCCTTCATAGGCGAAGCCTTCAACAAGACCTTCTCGCCCACCATATAAGATACATCTCGAACCTTCCGGTCCGCATAACTCTTCTGACGCGACTGAGCTGTACGAAGTCTCTCCTGGATCACCTTCACCTTCTCTAAGGCATCCTGCACCAACTCTGTCCCCAATAGTCTAGCCTCGCCGGGCTCAAACCAACCAACCGGAGATATGCACCGTCTCCCATATAAGGCCTCATACGGCGCCATCTGAATACTGGACTGATAGCTGTTGTTGTAAGCAAACTCTGCGAGTGGCAAGAACTCAGCCCAAGAACTTCCAAAATCAATAACACATGCACGCAACATGTCCTCCAATATCTGAATGGTATGCTCGGACTGCCCGTCCGTCTGAGGATGAAATGCGGTACTCAACTCTACCTGTGTACCCAACTCTCGCTGAAAAGTCCTCCAAAACTGGGAAGTAAACTGAGTACCCCTATCTGAGATGATAGAAACTGGGACCCCATGCAACCTAACAATCTCCCGGATGAAAATCTCTGCCAACCGCTCCGAAGAATAGGTAGTACACACCGGAATGAAGTGCGTGGACTTGGTTAGCCGATCCACAATCACCCAAATCGAATCAAACTTCTTCGAGGTACGAGGGAGACCACTAAAAAAATCCATAGTAATCCTCCCCCACTTCCACTCGGGAATATCTATCCGCTGAAGTACACCACCGGGCCTCTGATGCTCATATTTGACCTGCTGACAGTTGAGACACCGAGCTACATAACTCACAATATCTTTCTTCATTCTCCTCCACTAGTAATGCTGCCTCAAATCCTGGTACATCTTCGCGGCACCCGGATGAATGGAATACCGCGAGCTATGGGCCTCCTCTAATATCAGCTCCCGAAGCCCATCTACATTGGGCACGCAAATCCGGCCCTGCATCCTCAACACGCCATCATCACCAATAGACACATCTCTAGCATCACCATGCTGGACCCTGTCCTTAAGGACAAGCAAATGCGGGTCATCATACTGGCGCTCTCTAATGCGGTCATACAAGGAAGACCGAGAAACCATACAAGCCAACACTCGACTAAGCTCCGAAATATCTAACCTCACCATCCGACTGGCCAACGCCTGGACATCAACTGCAAAGGGCCTCTCCCCAACTGAAATGTATGCCAAACTACCCATACTGACCGCCTTTCGGCTCAAAGCGTCGGCCACCACATTGGCCTTCCCCGGGTGATACAAAATAGTAATATCATAGTCCTTGAGTAACTCAATCCACCTCCGCTGCCTCAAATTAAGATACTTCTGTTTGAACAAATGCTGAAGGTTGCGATGATCAGTATATACCTCACAAGATACGCCATATAAGTAGTGCCTCCAAATCTTCAAAGCATGAACTATAGCAGCCAACTCCAAATCATGTACAGGGCAGTTCCTCTCATGGGGCTTCAACTGACGAGAAGCATATGCAATAACTCTACCCTCCTGCATCAACACACATCCGATCCCAACTCTCGAAGCATCACAATACACGGTGTAAGAACCTGAAGCTGATGGCAATACCAACACTGGAGCCGTGGTCAAAGCTGTCTTGAGCTTCTGAAAACTCTCCTCACACTCATCAGACCACACAAATGGTGCACCCTTCTGAGTCAACTTGGTTAAGGGTGAAGCAATAGATGAAAAACCCTGGATGAACCGGCGATAATAACCCGCCAAACCGAGGAAAATCCGAATCTCCGTGGCTGAGGACGGTCTAGGCCAACTCTGAACCGCCTCTATCTTCTTAGGATCAACCTGAATACCATCACTGGACACCATGTGCCCCAGGAAAGCCAGAGAACCAAGCTAGAACTCACATTTGGAGAACTTTGCATAAAGCTTCTCCTCCCTCAATCTCTGTAATGCCACTCTCAAATGCTGTGCGTGCTCCTCCTGGCTACGCGAGTACACCAGGATGTCATCAATAAAAACAATCACAAATGAATCCAGATACGGCCGAAATACACTGTTCATCAAGTGCATGAATGCTGCTGGGGCATTACTCAACCCAAAGGACATAACTAGAAACTCATAGTGCCAATATCTCATCCGGAAAGCAGTCTTCATAATATCTGAATCCCTAATCTTCAGCTGGTGATAGCCTGAACGGAGGTCAATCTTGGAGAATACCCTTGCCCCCTGGAGCTGGTCAAACAAATCATCAATACGGGGCAGGGGATACTTGTTCTTCACTGTGACCTTGTTCAATTGCCTGTAGTCAATGCACATTCTCATTGTGCCATCCTTTTTCTTCACAAACAAGACCGGTGCACCCCACGGTGACACACTCGGACGAATGATCCCCTTATCCAGGAGCTCCTGAAGCTGATCCTTTAGTTCTTTCAACTCTGCTGGTGCCATGCGATACGGAGGAATAGAAATGGGCTGAGTGCCCGGCACCAGATCAATACCAAAATCAATGTCCCTGTCCGGCGGCATGCCCGGCAGGTCTGCTGGAAACACATCAGGGAAGTCCCTCACAACGGGCACAGAATCAAGACTAGGAGTCTCA